GAGCCATCCTTATTACCTGTATACTTGAGAAACAATGTGTTTCTGTCTCTGAGGAGACTCAGTTAAATGAGAGGAAACACAACGGTATGATGCTTAGACATTTTGAATAAACCCTACGACCATTGTTGGCCTATCACACAACTCACCTTAGAATGTTGTTTCAAGAAATCCACTGCTTCTTCCAAATAGTCCAGATGTATTTCTTTGACATTGGCAGGCTTGTCACTGAACAAAGCCATAGAGAGAACCACAAACCCTTTGTTGGCCAGCAGACAGGCTCTTCTCTCAGATCTCCTGCTGCTCAGATCCAACACGGCAGGAAACGGACCTCTTCCTAGAATATTACACACAAGTTAATATCAACAGTACGTCATTTAAAATCATACCTATGTTTGTAGTTTCTTGTTGTTTAATTAATGTGAGCTTTAGTGTTTTGGGTAATTGACTCGTCATAAAGGAACTGTTCAATATAAAATCATCAAAACTTGGAAAAAATTAAATACAATTTCATCTGATCCCTTCAGAACTTCAGTATATTTAAATGAAACCAAAATTTTATGTCAGTGTTCCTTTTTTTAAATTAAGGTTGCTTTTTCTTGCATTTTTGAGCATTCATAATTTCATACATCAGACAGAGAGCCACATGAAATTTTCATCAAAACATATTTGCGCTAAGAAGTGCCGCCAAATCAATTTTACAGTCACTCCAGATGTCACAATCCAACGCCAAAACCTTGTTAGTGTTCAGAACAATATCTCTATCACAAAAATTTTAACGTTAATATCACAGGTTATATCAAAGTTTTAATAGCAAACTGCATTGGTTTAATGTCTATGATTCCTTCTGTGTCAAAATAATTGTTGTAATATACAGTTGTGAATATAATTTTGCTTTAACTTGTAAAGACCATATAAATCATGAAAGTCTTGAGTTTCCAATGACTTTGAAAACTGAATTGTCTGTGATGGAATCATTGAAACACATGCGTCTTTGTTACAAACACAATCGTGCATTTTGGTTCCCTCTCAGATTGATTATAGATCAATATGACAAAATCTGCTGGGTCAACAATATACATAGAACAATGCTAGTATTTGGTGAAACGTCCTTCGGCCATTTTCACCTCAACTGGGCGCTCTTGTTGGCGTCCACAAGCTTCTGGCAAGTCTCTGGTTGTATCTTTGACCACTCCTCTTGACAGAATTGGTGCAGTTTAACTAATTTTGTTGACTTTCTGACAGACTTGTTTCTTCAGCACAGGCCACAGATTCTTGATGGGTTTAAAATTCAGGACTTTGGAAAGGCCAGTCTAAAACCTAAATTGGCATTTCTGTATCATTTTTGACGTGTTTTTGAGCCATTGTCTTGTCTGTACAACCAACTGTGTCCAAGACCTAACCCTATGGCTGATGATTTAAGGTTTTCCTGAAGAATGTGGAGGTAATCGTG